ATKTTATTTTCTGCAATAAAATTGTATCCTCCAAGAGAAAACTTTATTGCTGATCGCCCTGATGCATCTCAGTTAGAAAAATCAAAAAGAAAAAATAAGTAGGTCTTTTTTGGATTTATTGCTGATCGCAAGAAACCACTCCCCCACACAACGCGCCATTGTGGATACAGTCAGAAACACGACCCCATAGTGTGGAAATCAATTTGATTTGTGTTGTTACAACACTATGACAGTCACAGGGATGAAAGTTTTTCATCCAGTTGATGGAAGAGAGAGAGAGGGGAACATGATTTTTTTTTTTGTTCGATGGTCGTAGTTTTGAGTCCCATGGTCCAGTCAGCAGCCCTCACATACAGCATGCTGGCCTCTGTCCTGAGAGATTAGTGATCTGTCTGTCTGTCTGTCTGTCTGTCTGTCTGTCTAGTGTCTCAAGCAATTCCCCTCATGTGGAGTGTGTTTTATGGTAAAGAATATAAAACAGGCAAATGACAACTGCACACAGATGCAATTCAGGACTTCAGGACAGTTAAATGTTTAAACGCTTAAGTGTTAAAAAACCACCTTGTGAAGACAAATGAAAGTGTGTTTTAGAAGAGCCACTTCTGATTTYGCAGAACAAATGAAAAGACACGAGTTAACTGAGCCACTTTGCAGAATTACATGGTTTTCATCCTTATTAGTCTACAATGKATTTGTTGTGTTGTCACTGAAAGATTAAGAGATGACTTCATGGAGACTTTTTAATTAGTATAATGAGGCACTGGAACCAAGACATTTGTTTCCAAATGGTAGCATCGTTAGCTGATAGGTGAATGTTGTCTTTAAAGATCTGTAAATCAATGGATGTGAAACTAATGAAATTATACCATTTTAAGTGAGATGGTAAGTTTKGTACACCTCTCCAGTAGAAGTATTTTCTCTTTTTTTCTGTCAAATGTTCAAGCACAACCAGATCAAAAATCAATATGTCTGAACAGCTATTTTCAGATGCTTTAACGGTTGGGTTTACACATCCTGCTTTGTTGTCCAAACTTTAAGAAAGCAAACATCTGTACACAATAATAATGGTCAGCATATGTGCTAATATTTTGTGCATGAAAAAAACTGAATTCTGGAGCTCATKGTTGAAAGGAAAATATAACACGTACATTGTTATTGACACCATAATCACATTGCACAATATACTCAAGAACTAGAAACATTTAGTTGAATAAATCGATATAATTAAAAGCAGCATGATGGTTGTCACTAGGTTAAACTAAAACTGGTAAATCAAATCTTAAAATATCCAGAAAAAAGAAAAAAAAAACTACAGTTGTCAAACAGCTGTTATCATATTAATACTGTGACAACTTTCTAAACTTAGCTCAAATTACTTAACTCTTAGAGCAACTCTTTAGTGGTTTCAGTGAACACTCTGCGAAGTATAGCATCACTTCTTGCCTCAGAAAATTGTCTGTTTGAGGTCCAGGCCTCCTCCTATTTCCGCTAGCTTAATGGATTATGACCGTGATGCAGCATGAAGTCTTAATCCTCTCACCGCTCTTGCCTCCCCTCCTTTTATGTTAAGCCCCTTGACTAGAGACTGTCTCTGTGTGTGAGTCAGGTGCCAACTAGAAGTCATACGCAAACTTTGATGACACAAGAAAACAAAGAATTAAATAGATCAAGGTTTGACAACCAACTCCATCATCACATTGTCCCTCACCCCATGTTTGCAAGGTGTACTGAAACAAGAAAAGAAGGAAGACATTTTTCTATGCCAGTTACAGCTTTRTGAAGTGAAACGTTCTCAAGCTGTGGAAAAATAAACCGCTGACACATCTGTGTTTATTTTTATATCTACAATCTATATAATACCACAACATGCCTGTAATGTTGTTTGTTACTATTCTTGAATTTCTGGGTACAACGTAAAATTTATGTCTACAATAATGTAGCTTTGAGCAGTTTTACCAGAACAATCCTAAAACCATTATGATTATTTTACTGAATTATTTTACACTGATAACATTTCCTTTTTCAAATAAATCATGTTCAGTGGAAACAACTGTGATTCACTCTTAACATTGTGGAAACCATGGATTAGGGAGAAAATAAGCACAAATACACATAAGTAAAGGTAAGGACATGGGGACAAAAACTCAGGAAAACTCGAAAGATCACTCAAAAAGGGCTTTGTGGTTATTAACATAGTTGGGAAAAAATAAGACCCACTAACAGTAGCTGGCCATAGCATTAAAGCGTTTATACTCATTTTCTTGTTCAAATTCTTGTTCTTCAAGTCACTGTATGCAAAACACAGAACACTTTTGACTGTAACCAGAAGACGTAAGCTCATGTAAAGTGAAAAATAAAATGACTGGACCAGAGATTAGATTGTTAATTATTTCAGAATAAAACTTTCTCCACACTGAGGTAGTTTAAAAACCTATATTCAATCATTGTTCCTTTCCACAGAAACCCCATATTATGACTTTAACAACAACACAAGTAAAGCTGAATGCTATTGGATCAGTGTGCAGATGTTTCCAGACCCCTACACACAACTTTTGGTTTGCATTTAGTCATAAATCAAGAGCGATTACGAATTAGATAAGTTTTCTCCAGCTTCCACTCAAGACTACCTGTACTTAACTCTTAAAAGGAAAAAAAAGGATGTAAATACACTCCAGAGTAAAAAATGTTTCCTACATCAGTGCCAGGCTTTAACATGGTGATAAAGTAAGACCCTCTGTGTTAGCTWCAGACCAGCCTAGGTCTCCAGCTGTGCTGAGAGAAGCCCGGTCATGATAAACGAGGCTGCTATCTCAAGCAATGTCAGCGTCAGCCTGTTTGTCTGTCCTCCTGAGGCAATCTTTTATTCCATCTAAACACACTGAATCATCCAAGCTGACAAGGAAACAATCACAATGCCTGGTTCACATCCAAAAATGTTTCAGATTTCCAATGACATGATATAAAAGACAAACTACTACAGCCTACTATTGTACATGTCCCTCTGGCTGTACAGGAAATGAATTTTGCCACTGTGTCATATACATTGTGCTACAGCACAAAAACGTAGTTTACGGATCATAAATGAAGGCAAATATGGAGGACCAAAACTGTCATAATTAGAAATAAAAGCAGAAATCTATAAATGGACCAATAGATTTATCAATACACTTAAAATTTACAACGTTAAATTAAAAAAGGTGAACTTTACCTCATGTTTTATAATCTGACCTTCATATTTATTTTTCCAGCTTAGTTCAAATAAATTATATTATTTTAGCACATATGTACATTTTACTGTTTTAAACATACAACTTTTCTGTTTTTCTTTTTACTTTAAATGTTTATATTCAAAATTTTCTTATATTTTTCTCATGTTTTTTTATTATTATTTTCACGTGTTGCTTTTACATTTCTATGTCTTCTGTATTTACTTTACCTTATGAATTTCTCTCTATACTTTTTTATTTGAATGGTGCATTTGAAG